ACAAATTGTCGGTGACAATACTTTGAGGTGTTTACGAACAATAATAATTAAGAATACATACGAAAATAATTATTTTGAATTTAAAAATATTCATTATTTTCCAGTTGAAAATAAATTTTTGATAATATTTCTATTATGTTATGTGATAAATATGGTAAACAAATAAATTTTTTCAATAGCAATATTCCTACAAAAATTGTATTACATTTTAAAAAAGTATAAATAAAAGGTATTAAGCAAAAATTATATTACTTTTCTATTATATTATGAAACGATTGTATTATAAGTATTATTTAGTTCAATCTGGTAAAGGGCTTGATGATATCGGCCCCTTACTTCATTCTGCCCTTGCCTATCAAAGAGGTCGAGGATTGGGAAGTTTTTTTGGGGGGCTTTTTAAATATTTGAAACCTTTGTTTGTCTCCGGAGCTAATATATTGAAAAATGAAGCAATTAATTCCAGTATGAATGCTCTATCTGATATTGCAACTGGAGCAAATATAAGAGAAGTAGTTCAGGATCGGGGTAAAGAAATTTTAAAAAATGTGAGACGTGGAGCAGTTCGTAAATTAAACGAAATGTATGGATCTGGAAAAAGAAAAAGAAAAACTATAAAAAGGCGCCTCATTAAAAAAATCGACTATTTTGCTTCAAAGCGACGAAAAGTTAATAGCAAAAGAAAAAAAGTTGATATTTTTGATTAATTACGATTAAATGTATGAAATCAGAATTGGATATTTTTAGAACAAAGCCAATTCAATCTAGTATTTTAAGATCTGAAGAAGTTTCATACAATCCTATTGCTTCTTTAGATAATCCATCAACTATTGAATTTGTCTCATTAGGTCATGGTGATACATATAGAGATTTATCTTCTACATATCTTAGATTAAAGGTACAAATTGTTAAAAAAGATGGAAATCATTGGAATAACGACAAAGGTGCCGACGGAAAAACATTGGCCCAACCAAGTGTAGTGAATAATCTTCTACACTCAATAATAAAACAGTGTAATGTTCAATTTAACGGAAAAAGTATTACCCCGTCAGATGGAAATTATCATTACAGAGCATACATTGAATCATTATTAAATTATGGTACGGATGCCGCTACTACTCATTTAGAGTGTGCTGGATGGTGTTTAGATAAACCAAACATAGCAAAACCAGATAATAATGGATCAAAAGAACGTCAAAAACTTTATCACAACAGCAATATCGTAGAGCTAATGGGTAAACTACATTTGGATATGTTTAACCAACCGACTCTTTTAATAAACAACGTTGATGTGAGAATTACTTTAACACTTGAAAAACCAGATTTTTATATTTTTGCAGACGACGCTGATGAATCTCAGTTAAAAATTTTGGAAGCTACATTATTTATGAAGCACGTAACAATAAACCCAAGTGTGCTACTAGCCCATAATGCTGTTCTAGAATAATCGAATGCCAAGTACAATTACAAGCGTGTTGAAGTAAAAAGTTTTACAATTCCTTCTAATACAGCAACTATTTCACTTGATAATGTCTTCATTGGGCAATTACCCACCACCATAATTTTTTGCCTTACAGAAAATGCCATACACTTTTTTCTGGTACAGGAATTTATCATAATGACAAAGAACATCAAATATCAAAATCTATGTTTAGTAGTGGATTTTTCATCTTGGCTTTCGATTTGACACCAGATGCATCAGGAAATGAGGTATGTCAGGGTCTATTTAATCAAGGTACAATTAGAATTGAGGCAAGGCTATCTAACGCGCAATCATCTGTATTGACTGCTATTGTCTATGGAGAATTTGATGCAAGTGTTGAAATTGACAAAAATAGAAATATATTCAAAAAACCTATAAATAGAACATTTGCATAAATGGTTTTAATATTCAAGATGATGTCATCGTGTTATGCACTTGTTGATATAACGTTTTGTTGTGACGACAAAAATACCTTATTTGTAAAAGATATTTGCTTAGTTGGGATTCAAGAAAAATGCAAAAAAATTGTAAACGAGTTTTCTTACAAATTTCCAACTAAGGAATATATGAAAATTTTGAAAACTATTCGTTTGGAACTTTGATTAATGACAATATAAGCTAAGAACTTAAAGAAATATTAAAAAAATTCAATGTGATATTGACTAACGGAAAAATCAAAAAAGATTTCATTTCGCATTACATTAAAGAAAACAGTACAGTTTATGATTCAAGTGAATGAAATTTATGAATACTTTAGATATTATAAAATATTTAAATTGCAATAAATATACAAGAAAAAAATTTAGAGGTGTATTTACTTTAGATCAAATACCAAAAAACCTTGAAAGATCTTCCTTTATAATTATAAATACTGATAAAGCAAAAGATCCTGACGAGCATTGGTTAGCCATATATATTCCAAAATATGGTTGTGTTGAATACTTTGATTCTTATGGAGGTTTACCAAATAAAAAGGAAATTTTAAGTTTTTTAAAAGATAAATGTATTGTTTTCAATGAAAAACAATTACAAAGCACCTTTTCAGCAGTTTGTGAAGAATACTGTTGCGTGTATGCATGGTATAGATGTTTTGGTATAAGTATGAATAATTTTTTACTTGAATTTAAGAAACGCAAACATAATAAAAATGATCAAATAGTTTTAAGAAAATTTCACAAAATATTTGGAAAGCAGAATATTCAGACATGTGTTTCTAGAAATCATGTTATATAAAAGATGAAATGTCTCAATTAAAATGCAGTTTAAAAACAGATAGCTAGATCAGCACTACTTAATCAGTGTTTTTTAAAACATGTTGTTGGCGTATACTTATTTTTTAAACAAAACACATACTGTAAAAGTAGTAATGGGATTCCACGTAGAATTATTAGAAGCAACCATTTCAATATACCGTATTGGAAAAAAGGAAATTTTTATAAATTATGAAGATTGGGTGGAATTTTATCAGCAATTTCAAACAAAGTATAAAAAAAAATTATAAATAACAAGGTCTCTTGTCTACAATTTGGAATAAAAACAAAAAATTTACAAACTTTCGTGTTAAGGAGCGAAGAGATGGATGAATTTCATATCCTAATTGATTTTATTCATTTGGTAATGGAATACAACCACAAGGCTGAAGAAGGTGTAAAAGACTATATAAGGAAATATATAAGACAATGTGTAGAAAACAATGAAATCATACTAAATAGTGAAATTTATATACCATTAGATCGATTTAACTTTCAATGTAATTATTCTAGATTGTTTTATGAAATTCCGTTTTTACTTAAAAATAAGATAAAAAAATATTTAGAAATAAATAAAAGCACTATGCTACTAGACTAATATGTTACTTGTATTTTATTTTTTCTTTTATTTACATTATTTTTGAGTTATTTAAAACATGAGTAATTGTAAAAATAATAAAAAGCAAGCATAAAAATACCATATACAGAATAAGACATTTATAGCAATTCCAGCAAAATGAATTTAGTATCTGAATTGGTTCTTCTTCATTATTGAACATAATTGAAACCCCATCCCCTCTTGGTGATTTAGTATCCATTTTATTTCTTAAGTAAAACTGCAAAATTCGTTACAGTTATGGTGCTACGATTATAAATTGATGTATACTAAAGTTTTTTATTTGAATCAGGCTTAAATATAAAAATACTGACATTTTATTGAGCTGCAACGGCTTATATAAATAATCGAATCCTGTTTATTTTTCTTATTTTAAAAATGGATGTCAACGAGTTTTTACATGTATATGATTCTGTTATTTTGGAAGAACATAAAAATCAAATTTTATATTTAAACAATTACTTAAAAACATTTAAACATAAATTACAATTAACTAGTTCGATACACGGAAGCCATTTTACTATTTGCCCTTGGGCGTACGACGATACTACATCTGGACCAGATACTTGTGAATGCTATACAATAAAGAAATACAAAATTAAATGTCAAAATCTCAAATAGTATCGGAGATACATAGACCAGCTAGAAAACGATATCTCAGAAGAAAAGGGAATAAATGATACGTGGCAAATAGATTTAGTTGAAATGATACCCTACGCTAAATTCAATAGAGGATATAAATACATGTTAACAGCTATAGATATATTTCCAAAATTCCCTTACGCAGAACCTGTAAAAACAAAAAATGCTGAAAATGTTTTAAACTCTTTAAAAATAATAATTAAAAGATCAAAATCAATTCCCAAAAATATTCAAACTGACGAAGGCAAGGAGTTTTTTAATTCAAAATTCCAAAATTATATGAAAGAAAAAGCAATTAATCATTATCACACATTCAGCGAAATGAAAGCATCAATTGTCGAAAGATTTAATAGAACATTAAAAAATATGATGTGGAAAACCTTTAGTTTAAATGGAAATTATAAATGGTTACATATTTTATCATCATTAATACAGAAGTATAATTCAACAAAACATAAGAAAATAAAAATTTCGCCTGAAGAAGTTACAAAGAAAAATGAACAATATTTATTAAGAAATATCTATATAGAACCTAAAATTTTTCAAAAAAGTAAATATAAAATTGGTGATTATGTAAGGATAAATAAATACAAAAAGGATAAATAAATACATTTTGAAAAAGGTTATCAACCTAACTGGTCTACTGAGATTTTTAAAATCGCTAAAGTAAATAAAACATATCCCATTACATATCAATTAGTTGACTATAAAGACAATACTATTTCTGGTGGTTTCTATAAGGAAGAACTTACTCCTGTTAAATATCCTGATGCTTACCTAGTAGAAAAAATTATTAAAAAACAGGGAAATAAAGTTTTCGTAAAATGGTTGGGGTTTAGCGACGATCATAATACATAGATCAATAAAGATAGTATTATTTAAAACATAGTACATATTATATACATAGTTTTATTTTTCGACCTTTGTACAATAATAAAAATTAGAGAAAGTAATTCTTTTGTTTGTTTTTTTATTTTTTAGTTTATTTTTATATTTTTATTTTTTTACAAATTTAGTTTTGTTTTAACCTCTTATATCCGTAAGGAAGGGGGCTACCATCTACAGCAAAGTTGCGTTTTTCTGATTTCGGTTGATATACTTTTATTTGCGGAACCGTTAGTACTTTGTGTTCTTTGTTGCGCCCAATATTTTGTGATAATATATAAATTTCGTTGTCTGCTTTCGGATTTAACACAGATTCTTTGATTGTGTTAAAATTAATTTTTTGGGAAGCTTCATAATTTAAACAAAAACCCTTAACCTTACATATAATTTTTTCTTCTTTATCTTTTGTACTATATACTTTAAATGAGTAATTTTTGGGGCCACCGCTTACAAATTCTGTTATGTAGCTATCTTTACCATAACATTCTAACTCATCTGTCATGTCACCAATAAAATTTCCTACTGAAGGTTCATAGTCCCCTTTACGACTGATATACACTACGGAATCAGTATCGTAATATAAGACTCTTTCTTGAAGTTTTTCTAAGTAACTGTACAGTTTTAATCGCGCCTGAGTTGTTGTGTAAGCAGCAATACACACATTAACTGTTGGTAAGGAATCCATTACTTCTTCCTTGTACTGCCAATTAACTATAATGTTTTCTTCATTTACCGGAAAAATATAACAAACTTCTATAGATGGGTTTGTTAACAGGTTGTACAATTCTCTAGGCTGGTTAATGATTGATGTTTTTTGTAAATTTTCTCTTTGACCAAATTTGCCCCAAAATGAATTTAACATTAATTTGGCAAATGATCTTAAGCCAGGATTGTTGGGAACCTTTTCATGCTCCAATTGAATATCTTCTTTATCAAAAAAATCTTTAACATAGTTTTCTTTTTCGTTATTAGTGACACATTTAGATGGCCAGCCTGAAGCTTCTTGTTTAATTTTAATAAATTTGTTCATCATATTTGTAAATAAGCCCTGTACATCCATGTTTTTATCATATTTTGTAGTTTGGTATTCCCAAACTTTATAAATTTCTAACATTTTATAACCTTTTTGAATAGCTTTTACAACTTCGTCAATTACCCATGTTCCTATTAAAGCTCTTTCCTCATCTGAATGTGGACAACATTCTTCAAGCCATTTTTCTTCACTACAACTTCGACATAATGAAAACATTAACTTGTTGTTTTGTTTTAGTGGGAGAACGGGATGTAGTAAGTTCGTTGGTGGTAAAATTTTACATTTAAGAATTCCGTCCATGTTATTTAGTTTTAGAGTAGAACAAATACTTTCCCCGACATAAATTTGCGGGTGACCAATAGGAAATTTTCCGTACTTGCAAACCCAAGGGTATAACGAGCAAATGTCTATATATTTTTTTTTTTCTTCCTCTTTACATTTATAATAGTTGTAGACATTTCCTGTTCGTCCTCCATAAAAAGCATCTCGAGGATTCAATGCTGAATGTTGCACTAACGGATGATTTTTTAAATAACTTGCTTCTTCTTTACTAATTAATGAATTAAATTCACATTGCCACATTTCAATAACATCGTGACCTAATTTTCGTAATCTTTCAGCTTTTTTAATAGTTCTTTTATACCTCGTGTTCATTATATCATTTGAATCGTCTTGCAAACTGTTATTTCGGTTATGTGGTATACAAGTAAGGTGTCCATGATAATAACAACTGTAAAATTCAAAAACTTGATTAGTTTCTGAACAAAAACCGTCCACTTTTATACCGTTAACAAATGATTCTTTCTGTTTTGCTGTATGTCTGATGTTAATATTTCTTTTTTCTTCTTCCCATACTAACCATTGAATAGCCACTTTTGATTGATTGTCTGAGTTTCTGTATCCATGTTTAGGAATTAAACTAATTGTGTCCTCCTTTAAAAAATTTCTTCTAAATGCAAGATTGCATGCAGATGCAATTGTTGTTGTTTCTAGAAATGGTTCAACATTACACTGCTTCAAGAACATTTCTCTGAATTTTAAACAAGATTGTGTTAAAATGGTAACGTCATTGACACAGTATTCAATAATTTCTTTTTTAATGTTAAACATTTTATTTTTATTTTCTTCATACCATTTTAAGAAGGTTTCACGTTCATCTACTTTCATGTCGTTTGGATTGTAATATTCTACAGAGGGTAATTGCCTAATATAATTTTCATTTTTCGCTGTGTTAAAAAGAAGTGGAAAATACCCTTTCTTCATATTAAATTGTAGATCAAAAGCTTTTGGTAATTTCGACAAAGCCATTGGAAAATAATTTAACGAATCTATAAATTTAATATTTCCCAATAGCATCATTATTACTTTTGTACCCCTCATTATCAGTTTAGTTTGTAAGGATGTTTTTTCTAAAATAAAATTCAAAATAAACTGATGATCGAAAGCTTGTCCATTGTGTGCAATTACTATAATATTTTTAAATTTTTTTCTCATTTCCAATATGTAGTTAAGAAAAGTTTCTATAATATTTCCTTTTTCAATTATTTTTCTTCTAATTTTGCAATTTGCGCATAAATATAAAGATACAATATCAATACACTGATCGCACCTTTGCTCAAAAACACATAAAGTTGTTTCATGTTGTTTAATGACTGTTTTATTATTTTTTACAAGTTTTTCTTCAAAAATCTTTTTTTGTTTTGTTTCTAAATCATAAAAAATGAACAAGATATTTTTTAAATTGGGTTGATTTTTATTTGGTTGGATATAACATAAATGGTTACTTTCCACGTACTTATTGCATATTTTACAAAAATATTCACCACAAATGTGTTGTCTATCTTTTTTGTAGACCTTTAAACATTTGAAACATTTATGTATTAGTTCGCAAATACTTATTGTAGTTGAACTAGAACTTTTGTGGTTATCAAAACATTCTTGACCATTAAATTTTCTGTTACAATCATTACACATAATATTTTTCAAATTTTTATCACATGGTGGTGATTTTTGACAACACGGGCATGATCCAGTACATCTATGTCCATTTTTGTTATTATACGCTACATGACAATCTTCACAATAATATATACAACTGAATGCTGCTGTAAGTGACGTAATCACGTTGTAATGGTTTTTGTGAAATAAAAGATTTAATTTTTTCCCTGTTCCTAATCCTTCAAATATTACATCTTTTCCTTTTGTACCATATTTATATACTATTATTTTATAATTAGATTAATGCCTTTGCTAGGAATTGTAAGACCTGCATTTTCAATAAGTTCTGTGGCTTTTTTCGTTTGCAATTTTGAATTACTTTTTATTATTTGTTTATAATCTACAGATTTTTCGACTTGATGAATCACTACAATTAAAGCTCGAGGCAAGCATAAATTATCTCTGTTTGAAATTGTAATAACTCCTCTACGGTGTTTGCATTCGTCATCAAAATTTGTGTATTTTAAAGTTTTACCGGTTCCTTGTGGTAATTTAACACATGTTGCTGTTATACAAAATTTATCAGAGCTTAAACCTTCAGAGATACTCTGAAAAATATTTGATATGATGTTCCACACGTCTTCAAATTTAAGCTCTCTCGCCTCCTGGAATTTCACCCATCCCGGTCCTCTGTGTTCAAAACTTTCATCGCAAAATGTCAATCATATTTGATCTGTGGGTTCAATTCCTTCAAGAATGTATTTCAAAACTTGTTCAATTGCGTTTTTGAACCAATCAATTGGCTCTAGCTGTGATGGTGCTGCTTTAACTTTAAATTTTAATACGCGACCTTGAATATTGAACCGTTTTATGACGGATATGTTTTCACTTTCGATGGTATACGCCTTTGAATTTTCTCGAAAAGATTGTAGAAATTTTTTTAAAACAAATTTGCGCGCCATGTTTTTATTCGAAAATACGAAAGTATACTGGCTGTAAACGGATTCAAATTTATTATATTAGTAATAAAAAAAAAACTAATTGTTACATTGTAGCAAAATCATATTTCAGTTAATTAAAACTTAGACTTAGAATCCATTAAAAATAGAAATATTCAGGTTTAATCATATGAAATGTTTAAAAATAAATGATGATTTCTAATTGAAAAGATAAACACCAAATGCGGTGCAATCAATTGCATTGTACACTTCAAAATTATAGTTTAATCGTGATACATAAATTATGGTTTAAGAATTTTATTTTCGGCTTTAGATCCTATTTAAAGAAAAAATCCTTCAACAACTTTGTATTGAAACTATTTTAAAAATAGGAAAACTTGCAACATTGTGGTTTTAATCATCTTAAAAAAATTATCCTGTCATTTTGTAATAAAATTAATTATGATTTCTAATTGAAAAAACTGTAATGCATATAATTGTATTTGATTATGGAAGATTTTATATGCTCAGTTTTTGTATAAATACTCTTAGAATTTTCTAAATATTCAACAGTCGCATTTCTATTATCAAGAAAAAGTATATATGTATCAATACCTGATAGAAATGGAATCGCTTGACTTGACCTATGAAGAAAGCCAAATTTTGATGACTACCCCAAAACGGAAAAGGATGAGTCATCAAAAGGCAGAGCTGAATCAACAACAACAGCAACAATGTCATCAACAACAACAACAACCGCAACAACAACCGCAACAACAACCGCAACAACAACAGCAACAATATCATCAACAACAACAACAACAACCGCAACAACAACAGCAACAGCAAAAATATCATCAACAACAACAACAAGACAGCATCCAAATTTTGGATTGTTTTTCAATTGGGTTTGATGTATCTCAGGCCCAAAAAGAAAAGGAGGATTCACATATGGATCTCATACGTATTTTTAACAGTCAAACAGTTGTTAAAAAATACTTAACGGTTCAACAAATGGACCGAAATGAAAACTATGCCTTAGAAGAAAAAATAAGTAGAAATACAAAAAAACCATATTGGGTGTTTGTCACCCAAAATAATTATATTTTCATGCCTGATAATTACGTCAGGTTTTTCAAAGTAAATAAAAATTACCTTCAGTTGGTGAATTCAGGGAAATTCATCATAAAAACAACAGATAATAAAAATTTAAAATTGTCAAAAATATAAATAATTTTAATTATTTAAGTATTTAAGGAACTTAATTTTTTTTTGTTTAAAAATGAAAATAAAAATAAGTAAAATGAAAGATTTGTATTTTATTTCAACTTTCAGGTATTTTTTTTATTTTCCTAGGTTTTTTTTAATTTTTTCAGATAGAGTTATGGTCGAAATAAATTTCAATTATAATAAAAATAGTTATGTGTTTTTAAATGTTTCATAATTTTCCTTTTTTCTATAGGTTTAGATTTTATGTTATGAAATCTGTTGCTTCCATAAGAAAAAAGAACAACATTTAAATCTATTTTTTCGTTGTTTTTCAACATACAAATAACACCAATATGCTTAGTACCAGGCTCTCAGAAAATTTACAAAATACGACATTTTTAATATATGAGTTAAAAAGATACTTTATTTTTTTTCATCATTCTGTTTTCATAAAAACCACAATCAAAACAAGATCATTCTTTACATATCACTTTTAAGCCTTCAACATTTTTTTTCTTGTTTCACGAAGAATCGAACAAGAATTTCATTCCTTCTATTTCCTAAACTTAACCTTAAGTAACTACAAATATATGAATAGATATGTATGTTATGCATTATAAAATGCATTGAAATATTTTCATATTTCTTTTTACCATTTAATGCGAAAAATTAAACAACAGAAGCAAAACAAAACAAGAAAAGCAATACAAGATGTAATTAATCATAAGATATAAATAAAAATATCTTTTTGCATTTTTCTACACTCTTCTTCAAAATAATAAAAAAGTTGTAGTAGTAGTATTCTTACACATGGTATATAAAAATAATACTATTTTTTTTCATGATATCCCGTTAACATTATTTATAAAAACATTCTTTTTATTCCCAACTTCCTGAACTCTTTACTTCAAAGCTATGTCTACGACCTTAAAAACAATTTCCGCCATTAACTAAAACTTGCTCGACGATACCAAGGCCATACAACTCCTCGAATCAACAACAATCAAAGGGTCATGACATACTTGCACATCAATCAAGCAAAGTCTCAAGTACGGTGAACTCGGACAAGTAAACAACTTGCTTTGCAACCTTTGACTTCATTGACCTGGCGGCCACCTCAGTTTCGTACATTCATATGTACACGGGTCATGACACACTTTAACAGGTCATCTACCTATACCAGGAAATAGGAAAGTGAAAATGGGGCGTGCGATATAGGCTGATTTTTTCCCAGCACAAAGACACCCAATACCTACTGGTGGGGATGCGAAATACCCGCAGTAGGAATGCTTGTGGTAAGAGTTCACTAAAATCCAATACAAATCCAGAAGCGTCTGCTCTAGAATGCTGCCTTGCACAAGGTATTTATTGCCAAAGGCTAGGAGAAATAAACTCCGAAATAAAATTGAATCAATGCAATGAACAAAACAAAAGGATTTTATACCCCAGGTGGTAATCACGGATTCTGGGGGAGACCACTTATTGCAACAAACTACTACTACCGACCCTTTTAAAAGAACACCTCGGATCATGCGGACACCACCATGTGGTAAAAGCAAGGAAAATGTGTCCAAAGGCGACAAACAGAAAAATACCAATATGGGTGCAGTTAATGAAATAAAAGATCAGAAAACTTATAACTGCTACTTACGAGTAAATATAAGAATAAGTGAGCTAGAAGCGCTTTGTAAAGAATTAAAAAATTAAATCCAGTATCTCAGAGAGGAAAATATTAAGCTGAAATTGGAATCAAGCAATGTAAATGCAATAAAAAAAAAAATACGGAAAAAATTGCGATAAACTAAGTGGAATACTAAACAGACGAGGAGCATCTAGCTCTGGAAACCGATCGGATTCTCAAGAGAAAGAGCAAAAAGCGAAGAGCAGACATGCCACCTGAAATAAGTCCTGAGAAAAAGGTGAGCGAAATAGAAAAATCTGTCCAGATAAATGCACTACAAGAAAGATCAAACACTACAAGAAAGATCAAACCCCCTCCTGAAAGATCAAACAATGTGAAGGAATATCCAAAAATAAAGAAGATGCTAAAAGAAGCCAAAGTAAACTTTAGGGTCAACATAATGAATAATAATCAACTCAAAATCAATGTTGATTAAAAACAAGATTACAGAGAATTAACGAAAAAAATAAATGAGTCTAAACTAGAGTGGCATACCTACGAAAATAAAATGACAAGACCTATCAAGGTGATGGCTAGAGACTTGTATCCTTCGCGCCAACCTGAAGAAATTAAAAATGAGTTAAGAGAGAAGGGCTTTAAAGTTATTGGAGTCGTTAATAAAATTAGAAAGCAAAATAAAGAACAAGATCACTATGATCTTCGTGTTAATCTTTGTAAATTCGAAGAACATAAATAAAATCTACAAAATTGATGTACTTCAGCACATGAAGATTAAAATTGAGTCACTAAGGAAAAATAATTTGGTAACTCAGCGCACAGATGTCAGAGATATGAGCACACACAGAGGTTTTGCCAACGTCCGGCTCAATGTGTCAAGTGCGCTGTCCCCATATGACGATAAATTGTACTGAGCAAAAAATCGAAGCTCCAAAGTGTGCAAATCCTCCGAGGTACATCCTGTGAATTATAGGTTGTATAGTCGCAAAGGAATTACAAAGAAGGAAAAATAACCTTACAAAACAGAAAAAAATAAAAATAATATAAAAAAATACTCCCAAAACTCTAAAAACCCCGAAAACAACTACATAGAATAAATGAGTGCAGGAAACACAATATACCCAAGTGGCGAGACGTGAAACATATAACCATACCAAAGAACAAAGAGATTTACCACTTCAAAAACCTGCTGAAAGCAATATAAATATAATGCAAATGATGCAAAATATGATAAAAACTATGAACGAAATCTCATTGAGATTGAACAGATTAGAAGACAAGTATGATAATGTTTATATATGTACGCTGAAAAGAATAAAAAATAATGGACAAAGATAAAATAATTATTGCGACGTGGAACGCAAATGGCGTTCTTAATAAGAAGCGTATATTAGAAATATTCCTAAGGACCCAAAATATTGATATATGTTTAGTAACGGAGACCCATTTAAAACAGCAAGCAAATATAAAAATAAATGGTTACATGGAATATAAAGCGTCACATCCTAATAATGAATCAAAAGATGGTTGCGCTATTTTGATAAGGAATAATATAAAACCCGTCTTGGAGGACGGGTTATAAAGAGTGATTTATCCAAAGATCTCCTGAATCTCCTTAAAGAAAGGTTTATTCTGGGAGGTGACGATAATGCCAACCATATTGATTGGGGTTCTAGATTGACCTCAACGAGAAGTAGATAGCTAAGAAAAGTTATTAAAGAAATTGGTTGTTACTGCCAATCCACTAGCAGACCAACATATTGGCCAAGTGATTGAAATAAGATGCCAGATCTGCTATATTTCTTTATTGTGAAGAAAATCTCGCCAAATTTTGTTAGTTTAGAAGATAACCATGATTTGGATTCGGATCATTCTGCAGTTATATTAAACTTAGCTGAGACAGTTGCGAAGAAACAAATTAAGCCCATGTTGATTAGTAAATCCACCAACTGAACAAGTTTTAAAGAAGAGATGGAGAATAAAATAAACTTAAGAATTAAAGTACAAACCCAAGATGATTTGGATTCTGAGGTAGAGAATTTTAATAAAATCATACAAAGCGCTGCCTGGAATAATACAAAGCAATATGAGTATAAATCCGTGGGTATGACTTACCCAAGAGAAATACTGAATATGATAAGCGAAAAGAAAAGAGCTAGACACAGATGGCAAGGCT